AATGACGCCGACCGGGAAGCTGTCACCCCTAAGTCTGAGACTACTGCCCTGGGCTTGAGGACAGGTCCCCCTTAATTGCATTGTAGACATAATGTCAGGGTACGTCTACACGGCGACGAAACCCGCGGCTGGCACGTGTCTGACAAATCCGGCTTTGGCTCCTTCTGCTCCTTGTTCCACGGGACAGGACGATCTGCCAGAGAGGCTGCAGCCAGTGGGTCTGGGCAGTCCCGAGTCTGGGAATCCCCCTTCCCCACCGCTGTCCCATCTACCCCCATCTCCCCCCCTCCCCGGTCCCGTCTCTCCCTCCCACCCGGGCTGGGGGCTCTGAGCTCGTTCCCTGTAGACTCCGGCCCAGGGGCTGCCCCTCCCCCCGGGCAGGGCGGGGCTAAGGACGGGCCCCGCCCCCAGTGCAGACCCCGGCAGAGGGGGAGGGGAGGCCCCGCGTGGGGCGCGGACACGTGTGGGGCGGACTCGCTCCTGCCCAGGGGCGGGGCTGGGGCCGGGCGGTGACTCTGCCCCAGTGTGCGTTGGGGGGAAGCCGCCCCGATCTGCGCATGCCCAGAGCCGGGAGACACAAAACTCTTCTCCGCCCCGGGAGAGGCTCCAACGGCCCCGCACGAGACAGACAGAGTCGCAGCGCCCCGAGCGTATTCGCAGCCGGGCCCAGCCCCCCGCCCGACGTCCCTTCCGGTCCCGAGAGAGTCCGGAACTACATCTCCCAGCCTGCCCCAGGGGCGCTTCCGCCCTAGTTAGCTCAGGTAAGGGAAGGTTTCAGAAGCTGTTACTGCGCATGCTCCGTTCGATCCCCGTTTGTCTGCCGCCCCCAGGCCTAAAGTTACTTCCGCTGCTATTCCTCTGTGATCCGGGAGCGCGAGCGGGGCGGGGCCGGGAGCGGCAGGAGGGGCCCGGAGCGGGGCTGTGGAGAACCCCGCCCCCAACGGAGGGGCAATACCGCCTACCAACGCCCCGCGCGGTGCGCTCCAACGGCCGCAACTGTCACGTGTCTCCTCCCCCCGCCTGGCGCCCCGCGGGATGCGTCACTTCTGGGCCCGCTGCGGGGCGGGGCTCTGGGCCCGCCGGAGAGCTGGTAAGAGCGGAGCGGGGTTGGGGGACCCAGGGCGGAACCTGGGGTGGGGCGGCGGATCCCGGTGCTGCCTCCGTAGCGACCCCGAAATATTTGGCTGAGTAATGAAGTCCTCAAATCATGATTTCGGGGAGAAAAGTGTGTGTCTGTGTGTGTTGCACCTGCCCGTCCCCCACTGCTGCCCCCTTCCCTGCTCCAGGGACCTTCCCCCTCCAAACTGCCCCCCCCCGGCTCCCTGCGGCCGTGTGAAGGGGGGGAACCGTCACTGTCTGTGTGTGTTGGACAATCACATAAAATCCCTTCACACTGCCCCTCCCCCCCCCTCATTTCATAGCCAGAGAAATTCCCCCCCCCCCAATCTGGGGGTTTGTCTCTCCTGTTACCAAATGCGCAGTGTGTGACCCGTTTTCTGCACCACTCTCATAGATGGATATAAAATATCCTAAAATCTCCCCCTCCCTCCCTGCCACTTTCTCTCTTGTTCTCTAGTTCCACTTGAATGGGCCCTGAGTTTTGGGCCCTGTCTCTCTAATGATAAAACACAAACAACATCTCAGATTTACCCCTTTTCTCTGATTCTTCAACGTGACTAGACATTTATTGCAAATCTTGCCTCTTCTCTCTGTTCATTTATCAGATACTGATGGGAAATACACTCAGATTTTACCTCTGATCAACAACTGACGTATGCTGTGGAGTGTAGGTTTTTTTGAGGGAGGGGGAGAGAGGGATTGTTTTTATTCCTGATTTGCCTGACATTATGTTGTGGTGGGGATTTTTCTCTATGTTGTGTTTTTATATCTATATATTGCATAGTATCCTAGACATGTAGGGCTGCTCAGGATCTCAAGCTGTCATCAAGTCCAGCTCTCTCTGCCAAGGCAGGACCCAGTATATGTAGATTATCTCTGACAGAGGTTTGTCATACCTGTTCTTAAAAACTTCCAGGGAAAGAGACTCCAGCAACTAGGGATTTATTCAGTGAAGTAGGTGACTTTGAGTCAGACACTGAAAGATCCTTGTGCCTTAGGAGGTTACTAGTATCAGGGGTGCATCCGAAGAAGTGAGGTTTTTACCCACGAAAGCTTATGCCCAAATAAATCTGTTAGTCTTTAAGGTGCCACCAGACTCCTTGTTGTTTTTTTAGGAGGTTACTAGTACTCCCTCCCCAGACTCCTGGGGGCAGTCAGGGATAATTTAGTGGTTTATGGGAATTAGAAGAGGAAAATTCATTAAGAACGATGATATTTGTGTGTTTATTATTAAATCCCCAGAAACTCACCAATTCCCGTCCTTCTTCCGATGAGCTATAAATAGCTATGATCCTATAGTGAGTTTCTGCCTCTCCCCACTTTCTATAGCAGTGCTTTTAAGAAAAAGTCAGGGAAACAGGGAAATACTTTGAACCACATTCCAGCAGCCGCTGAGCATGCACAAGTTAAAACGAAAACAAGGTTCCATCTCTCCAAGGACCTGGCCCCTAGTGCAAAATTATAGACACTCCCCAGAAATCTGAAACGGCCACTTCATAACTGATAGAATGTTATTGATCTATTGACTTCTGGGAATTACCAATAAAAGAAACAGCCCAGTGAAGTTGATACCATGAGGGAAAGATCTCATGTGTCTTTACAAATTGGTATAATCTAATCTGGAACTTTATACAGTAAAATGCCTTATTCGTAGCCCTATGGCGATTGCCTGTATCCTGTAAGGACCTTAATTCTGCCCAGTCCCAGGTGCTTCTGTCCCCCACCATACCCCCAAACCTTTTCACCCCTGGAACTATCAGCTGTCAGTCTTCCCTTGCTGCTACCCCTTCCTGACTGGCAGAGAAACTCTAAGCTCTAGCCCCTTCTCTTTGCTTCTGAAAGTTGCCTTTCCCAGGGCTTTGCTGCCTGTGTGAATGGCAGGTAGGGATGGGGAGCCATCACTTTCTGGGTGTTTACTGAACATTCATCTAGTCCCTGACACCTTCATTTATGCAGCGGTACATTTATTGTAATTATTTATCTTTTAAAAAAAGCAAAAACGTCAAAGATCAGGTCTGCAGCCTACAAACCCTCCGTGTCCTTAAACAGCAGTATGTTGGGCCCTGCCAGAGTATCAAGTTCAGCAAAATTCAAACCTCCAAAAACTAGGAAATAGAGAGCTAATGTGCACGCCAATGCAACCTTAACTCTGCGCCCTGGAGGTGGCAACAGCCACTGGGCATTATCTGGCAGCACTCCAGCTGCACTCACTGTATTAGGTGTAGCTTCACTGAAAGGTAGAGGCGTTAGTTGGAGCAACTTGGTGGAGGTGTGATTGTGATATAAGAAGATCTGGGTCTGAGTCCCCCATGTGTGCGATGAAAGGAAAGAGGTGCATGTGTACCTTGAGCTTCCAGTCTGTATCGGCACTGAGCTGTGCGTGTTGTCAGGGGGAAATGGGACTGTTTGCCATGGGAATGGTCAGCAGTGAGATGGGATGTGGGAGCAGTCTGTGTGCTTAACGATGGGTAAGTGAATGTAGAACGTTAGCTGGAACTTCTGTGAGTAAGGATGAAAGAGTTGTAAAAAGGAGTGAAGAGGTGTTCAGTTGACAAGTGTGCGGCTGTTTCTGGGGAGCAGCCCAGTATCTGAGTTTAGAACAGGTGTCAGTAGCTCCTGTACAGCACAGCTGACCTAAAACCAAATTCCGTCTTAGCAAAGATAAAGTGCTTTATTGTGTGCCCTGGTTGACATTTTCCCCAGTACTTTAGTGATAGGCACTATCTCAAATAGCTGGGTGCACATAGGTGTCTTGTAGGAGTAAAGAAAGGGTCATTGCTCACGTGGGTCAGAATTAGGATTACATTGGTGTGTACCTTATCTCTGCATTTCCTGACTATTACAAGTTTGAGTTTTGCTGATCTCTCTTCTGGAGGGGCACCAGACAGCTTCGGGCAACCTTAAATCCTGCGTTCATAAAGTTTTTTGTAAGTGAATTTCCTAGCTTTTTCCACAGAGCGTGTTGGCGGGAAGAGTTAGCAGCCCTATAGGCAGTTGTGGGTCTCACACAAGTTTGCAATCGGAGGCACAGAGCAGTGCAATGAGTTACCCAAGGTCGCCCAACACGCCTGTGGCAGAGCCAGGAATAGTCCCCGTCCAGTGCTCTCTCCACGTAGGTGCTGGGTGATTGTGAAGTGTTGCTCCCCTCTCCTGTACTTTTTTCATTACGGTGGAATGGGAATAATGGTCATGCTTTCAAATGTTTCTCTCTTCCCCACTTCCTCCTTCTGCCACCATTTCCAGTTCGGCCTCCCCTTCTTTCAAGTGTTTGTCATGGGCAGTTGGTAACAGAGCCAGCGAGAGAAATCTCTGACCTCGTCTGTGCCCCAGCTGGGCCTTCTGCTCCTGGTCTAGCCATGTCCTAGCTCTGCCCCTCCTCCAAACAGGCCCCCTCTCCGATACACTGTGGCCTGCCCCTCCACCCCATACATGTGTAACATGTACCGTTAAACTATTCATATTTTGGATTTCAGATAATTAAATTTGTTACCTTCAGCTCCCCCCCCCCCCATAAGTTTCAGTTGTTTGGTAGTGCTCTGATGGTTTTCCATTGACAGTTTGGGAGGGAGCAAGGCTGGTCACTTGAGCGTTGCGTTACCTTGTGAGCTCAGGAGTGAGAAATGACGACTCCCTCTTGGGTGGATGGGTCAATCCCGGGGCCCGTTACCTCTCGGTGATTGATTTTCCATTCCAAGTTCATAAAGTAGATTTTCAATATAAATGCTTTGTTCCTTACATATGACCCATACGTTGATCTCTTGGTCTTTGAGTCTTGACCAGCTATGAGCTTTCTGTAGACACCTCACATGACCATCCTCCGAGAGATGTGTTTGGTGTGATGGGTTTGTCAGGTCTCAGGTGAGAGCTGCTGTCAAAGACCAAGTAACTCTTTGCCAAGGGATCTCTGTGTCACTGTCTGACCCCCGTAGGCCAGGGAGAGGACGACTTTCTGCCAATGGCCTTCAGGACGGGTGCTGAATTCACTGCAGTGCCCCATGTACCCTCTCCATTTCCCTTCTCGGTGTGCTGTCTGGGATGCTGCTCCACTTCCTGCTCCACAGGCCACCCCGTATCTACTCCATGTGCCAGGCTGCTGGCAGCCCCCAGTGAGAGGCCATCCAGCCCATCAAACTGGTGCCCAACTGCTGAGCCTCCCTCAGTGAAGGCCAGAGCCCCGAATGCTGCCAGCCCTCTCTTTGGGGCTGGAGATGCTCTACAGACTGTTCTCTTCCCAGGGTTGCCCCAGTCTGAATAGAGTAGGTCTCTCCTGTTAACTCTTGCTCTAGTCCTGGCATGGGTTGCAGGTGTGGAGGAGCTGGGCCAGTCCAGATTAAAGAAGTTTAACCCCTTCTGTGCCAGCATGGGGTTTATAGAGCCCTTCACAGGCACCCAGGCCCAGGGAATGGCCCCCTATCAGCCCCTTGCCTGACGTGGTGGGGCAACCCACTGGCAGCATTGCCTTTCAGGGTGCTGCTCCCACTCCCTCCCCTCCCCCTTTACTGCCACCACAGTGCCTGTTACCTTGATCTCCTGAGGGGTGACCCCTAGAAGCTGTGTTTTTTTTAATCTCTTTCCCACCCCCACCCCACCCCGGATCCGTTGCGCACCCTCTGTCACTCACCTCTGTCTCAGGAGACAAGGCAGGTTATGGGGCGTGGGTGATGCTATGCTGGATATCCATCACTCAAGGAGTGGCAGCCTTGACACTCCTTGAAGGTTGCCGGGATGCTGACATGCACTGGCGGAGAACTGGGGCTTGACTGAGTCCATGGACCATTTGGCCCACACTGTGTCACTGTAAAGCCTGCTCTGCATTGCTGCCAATTGCTGCTGGTGGCGTTGTGCCCGTAAGTCTCTGTAACGCTGTCTTCAGTGACTCAAGGGCATGAGCACCAGCCTCAGGCAGACTGGTAAAAAGCAGGGAACAAACCCCAAATTGGTTGTGAGGTCTATATGTAGATTTCACCAACCAAATATCCAGTGTAAACACTTCAGGCACTGTAACAGCATTAACATGGAATCACAGACAGTCCCGTTGGGTCATCCCATATATCTCACCACACAGGTGAGCTCACCTTTGTGACAGATGGTCCCGTACTCCAGGCGTTCTCAACCTTTTTCTTTCTGAGGCCCCCCCAACATGCTATAAAAACTCCATGGCCCATGTGGGCCACAATACTGGCTTTCTGCATATAAAATCCAGAGCTGGTGTTAGGGGGTAGGAAGCAGGGCAACTGGCTGGGGCCCCATGCTACAGGGCCCCCACCAAGCTACATTGCTTAGGCTTTGGCTTTAGCTCCTGGTGGTGGGGCTCAGGGGCCCTGGACTTCAGCCCCATGCACTGGGACTTCAGATTTCTGCCCTGGGCCTCGGCAAGTCTAATGCTGGCCTTGCTTGGCAGCCCCCTGATAACTGCTCGTGGCCCCCCAGGGGGCTCCAGACCCCTGGTTGAGAACCACTGCCTTACACCACGAATCACAGCAATGTTCAGGTTACTGCCAGTCCCAAAGGATCAGTCACTTCCTTAGGTCAATTGAATCTTAGATCTCCCACAAAGACAAAACTTGTAGCCAGTTCTGTCATAACCTCTACTGAGATTTATTTTAAAGAAAATGAGAATTGTTTACAAAGTTAAAGCAGAGGCAGACAAGTTACAGTCTTAAATTTCAAAAGGCAATGGAAGCTTAATAAGCAAGCTCTACATATTCTTTAGGACTAACCCAGGATAAGGAGCTGAGAATCTCTTCCTTATGCCTAGAAACTTTGCCCCCCAGAGTCCAAGCAGCATAGAGATAATCAGTTCCTTCAGCATGGGGTTTTTTATCCTCTTTCTGCCATGTGCTCTGAGCTGCAAACTCAGCTAATGAGAGGTCAAGAGCACAACAACAGTCTTGTGTCTTCTTTAATGTCCCATAATGGTTTATCTGGTGTTGATGGACCTGTCCTACCAGGCAGGGTGTAATGCATTCTGTTGCCAATCAGCACTTCACATAGGTAAAGTCTCTCTCCTGTCTGGTGATTTAAATAGCCACAGAGGCTCACAATGCAACTAGTCAGATATAAACCCAGGGAGCAACTCAAAGCATTCAATAAAGTCTAAACACATTCTTGTCATTCTAATACCTGTTTTAACACTATTAACACTGGTGAGTCAGACTGTTTCCAGCTATGCGTTTGTCCATGTTCAATTAAGACGTGGGGGCTTTTACAAGAGCTAACACCTCATCTGCCAGTCTCATAGGCAGGATGGACAGGGATGGTGTCTCTGGCCTCAGTTTGCCAGAAGCTGGGAAAGGGTGACAGGGGATGGATCACTTGATCATTACCTGTTCTGTTCATTCCCTCTGAAGCACCTGGCATTAGCCACTGAGCTAGATGGACCCATTGGTCTGACGCAGTGGGCCATTCTTATGTTCACAGGTTCTATGAGGAGTATCTACTCATCTGGACTCGCTGGGGAGCCACAGAAAGAAACAAGGTGTGCTGAGACAAGGAGGCCCAGTCTCAGAGCCCCCAGGGTCACGCTTGCCAAAAGCTAAAACTAGGCCCAGCCCATGAAAGGGGGCACTCCCAGGAGAGACTGTATAAAGGCTGGAGCATCAAACAACTTAGTAAACCATGAGAGGGCTGCCTTGGGGAAAATGACAGGGAGCATCCTCCAAAGTGACTCCTTTGATTCTGCTCTTCATTGGCCTTTGGTTCATAGAATCATAGAACTGGAAGAGACCTCGAGAGGTCATCTAGTCCTGTCTCCTGCACTCAAGGCAGGACTAAGTATTATCTAGATAATCCCTGAGAGGTGTTTGTCCAGCCTGCTCTTAAAAATCCCCAATGATGGAGATTCCACAACCTCCCTAGGCAATTTATTTCAGTGCTTAACCACACTGACAGGAAGTTTTTCGTAATGTCGGACCTAAACCTCCCTTTCTGCAATTTAAGCCCATTGCTTTTTGTGCTATCCTCAGAAGTTAAGAAGAACAATTTTTCTCCCTCCTCTTTCTAACAACCATTTATGTACTTGAAAACTGTGATCATGTCTCTTCTCTTCTCCAGATTAAACAAACACAATTTTTTCAATCTTCCCTCATAGGTCATGTTTTCTAGACCTTTCATCATTTTTGTTGGTCTTCTCTGGACTTTCTCCAATTTGTCCACATCTTTCCTGAAATATGGTGACCAGAACTGGACACACTGCTCCAGTTGAGGCCTAATCAGCACGGAGTAGAGCGGAAGAATTACTTCTCGTGTCTTGCTTACCATACTCCTGCTAATACATCCCAGAATGATGTTTGCTTTTTTTGCAACAGTGTAACCCTGTTGACTCGTATTTAGCTTGTGTTGTGGTCAAAGACACCCACGCAATGATTTTAGTTCAAAGACTCAAGCCTGAGGCTAGTTTATTGACATACATACCAGTGCACTAGGGTGCAGTCCGAAGACTGACACTCTGAGGGCCGCTCGCAGGCGGGTTTTTATTTCATTAAACCGCAAGCAAAGTACAAACAATACGTCACGAGTTAAGAAACTGGGGTTGGGGTCAGCCCCCCCCCAAACCACAAGTTAAGAAATTAGGGTTGGGGTCAGTCCCTCCCCAAACCGCGAGTTAAGAAATTAGGGTCGGGGTCAATTTCCCTCCCCCTCCCTCCTAGGTACCTTCCTCATTTTTCTGAGAATTGGATGTTTATTTGGGTAGAGGGGCGCTTGGTGGTTTTCCCGAGGGGTGGTACTTGGCACCAGTTTGGGTACATTTCTCAAGACATGTTATTTTCC